TTTGTTTCATAGTGAAATCACCATGATTCAAACATCATTACCTCTGAGGTTTAAGTCTAAAAATAGGGGAAAATCCCTATGTAAGAGCAATGTTATTGCTACAGGTATGATGTTTTTGATATTAACCGGTACACAAGATGAACCATAAATCTCCAGATTTTAAAATTATGAACAGTTGTAGCATGAACCAATTCTTCCCTGACTGAAGCTGAGTTGCTTGAATTTGCTGAATCTGGAACTGTAGTGGAATCAAGATCTATTTATTCATTAAAAAAGTAGAACAATCTTTTTAGGTGGCCAGACATGTACTTATGAAAAGGGAAGCTGGGTTTCATGCTGGGTTTTCTCTTTAGCTTGTCTACAATGAAATGTGCTCTCAGGATGATAGAATAAGGTATCCATTTCTTGCCTGTTGGGAATACACTGATCCAAGTATTGGAGAGGAATTTAATATATTTATTTATATTTATTATATAATTTTTTTTACCTGCAGAACAGGCAGCCTATCCAACCAGTTACAAACCCTGCTATCATTAAATGCTAAGTTGAATACATGAGTATAAACAGTGCTGAACAGGGAAAATAAAAGAAAATTTCTTGTTACAGTTTGAAATCTTGAAGGTGAAATTTTGGTAAGGAAAATCTTACATGATTTTAAAAAGTATTTTGAAGTGATAGTACTTAACAGATCTCTATTGTATGAAATTAAAATGTTTCTTTTTGAAATGCAGATGACAGATGATATGGGTAACTTTTAGTAAATACTTTATCTGTCCACAGATTCTTGCTGTGATAGAGTAAATATATCTTATTCCCGTTAGGATGACTTGAAAGGAAAAAAAGGTATGGGTCCCTTCTTATCTTCCATTTAGTGTGTACAGCTACTTAATTACTTAATTAGTGTGAAAGCCCTTAATTACAGTGTGGCTTTGAGGAATGCTTATGTTTCCTTATTTGAGGCTTTGCTCTTTTTGCAAGAATTTAAATATTTGGCTTTATTTCTATATTTAGGGGCTTTACCATATTTAACCTTCTTGCTAAAATCCTATGATCTCTTTTCTTGGGTAGCTTCAGTAACTGCAGTAGGAGAACTTCTGCTTGGAAAGGTCTTCTGGGAGTTACTGACTCCAGGCCCCCACTGGAGGTGGTGCTGTAATTAGAGCTTGGTCCAGCCAGTCCTGGCCTTGTTTTGCTGAGTCTCAAATGGCTCTGAGGTGTTCTTGCTGAACAACCTGACCTGTGAGCAGCATTACCTTTCCTGAGAAGGTAACCCAAAAAAGTGGGTTTTTTGATGTCTATGTGACTCCAACATGTTTTTTTGATTATCACTTTCATATTAATCTTGAGCTTTTGGAGCAAAAGAAAGCCTTTTGCAGCTTAAATTTCTATCCTGTTATCCTGTTATCAAGAGCTGACAAAATCCGTCTGTGGTTTGTTGTTTTTTGGTTTTTTTCCATTGAATCTTGCAGTATCATCAGGGAAGAAAAAGTTAGTTACTTCTAAGAATTCTGTTCTTTTTTACAGACCACAAACTTTTTTTAAGGAGTAAACAAAGGAAAAAAGGAAAAGATTTTCAGGCTCCTTAATAAATGAAAATAAACTTTTGTTTCCTTACAGAAAAGGAACACTCCTAGTGAAAACTTGTGCTTTGGGGTTTTGAATAATAAGTGCAATAACTGGCCATCAAAAATAACTTACAAATTTGTCTGATTATCTATTTATAATTTTATAATATAAGTTGAAAATAGTAAGGCAGAAATCCCAGTGTAGTGGATAATCTGGTACCAATGAGCTCTTTGAAATCATTTTACATCTTCAAAGCGCAGTACACTTCCTAAAGCTCACGGCACCTCATGGCTGCAGGATTCTTAGGGGAGCTAATTACTGCTGGCCTAAGGACACCTCCCCAGCACGTGCTCTTCCCAAGGCTTGCTTATGTACTCAACAAAATCTGTACCTGCAATGAATGCAAGTCTGCTAGGGCCTAACAATGACTTCAGACAACCACCCCTTACCTGCCCTCACAAAACGGGAATCTCAGTGACATTTATGGCTTTTGAAAGTACCCTGGGTTAAAAATAATTTTATTTGTTAGTGTACTGGCCATCTGAAGCTGTAATTTAAGAGTATGGTGGGGTTTTTTTACAATTTTTCAATCATTCTATGCCTATAAAGATAAATTAGGAGAATATTCTAGTCAAGACTTTTTTTAAATACAGTATTAGAAATGAAATGGACTTCAAAAAGTGGTGGCAAAACACTTGTGTGTTGTTTTGCAGTTCAGTTATAGAGTCTGTGTCCAGAATTTTCTGTATCTGATTTACCTTTTTGTCGAAACTGAGACCTCCTATGATCTGAAACCCACTAGGACCTGGGATCTCCTATGACCTTCCCACACAGAGAACAAAAAGCCATTAATCTGTAATTTATGTCACCTCTCTGTCCTCCAGGAGACATTGTAAATAGTTGATCTCACTTCATTATGAATACTCCAGTCTGAGGGATGAGGATGCTATTCGTGCAAGCAGCCTGGAAACTTGGGTTTTTTAAAAAAACAAAGAGAATTTTGAGAACAGGTACATTGCAATGTGATTCCCTGTATCTTATTTTCTGTTGTTGTTGGAGAGTTCCTATTTATAACAAACAAATTCTTTTTGACAGTTGAAACAGAATGAGAAATAGAGGTCTGGATAATACATTGATCTAGGCTGTCAAGCTGAGGGTTGATTTGAAGGTCAGTCAATACATATTCTTTCCCCACATATTCATAAAATGATGACTATAATGATATATGTGTATTCTAATTTGGGAAGAACAAAAAAGGGTTTTCAGATTTCTGACTATATTCTTGTACTAATATATGAAAGTAGGTGTTTCCTTTTAATTGATACAGTTTTGTACATCATTGTCCTTGTACTGTTAGTCATCAGAGTCAGGCCCTTTTTTGCCTTAAGTGTAAAAACTGACAGAATCAGAGCAAGCTGTCCTGCATGAACTTGTTCCTGATTTGGTGAGATTTCAAGGGGAGTGGGATGTCACATCAATGGTTTTCCTCTCTCCTCAGAGAGCAGAGCAGGCCAAAATCCTGAGGAGGTGCAGCTGCAGTGGCAGTACTGGGGTTAGCTATTGTAACACACACAGGTCAGGGAATTTGACAAGACAGGTTCATACAAATATACACACTAAAAAATACATCAGTTCAACAATTATCAGTTTATTCAACAATTATCAGTTTAGCAGATTAGATTTGATTTACATAGTCCCAGTGTGGGCTTAAAATAGAAAATAATACATGGGGATACATTTCTGGAAAAATGGTGTAGAGGGGAAGGCCAGAAAGAGAGCTGGGAAGCTCTTCAAAGAGAAAGCTTCTTCCAAAGCTAGAGTCATAAAAAAAAGTTAGGAAAAAGACATGTTAGCATCAGAAATATAGATTATAAGAGTTTAGTTAACACACATGGATGTAGATAATTTACTGGATTGTGGCTTACTCACAAAATTACAGTTTGTGGTGGCTGTAGCTGGGGTTGGTCTCCCTTGCTGGTGGGAAGTGATTTGACCCTGCTGATGGATTGAGACATTCTGAGTTTGGATAGCATCACTCTTGCTTCTCTTAGCTCTGTATCCACACTCATTATGTGACTGCTATATCAGTGAGAGGTGAGTGATTTCTTCTGACCTACCTGCTGCATCTGCATGTTCACTGAAGTTCACTTTGAGCATCTTAATTCCCCCATGGCTAATGTGGAAGGAGAATAAGTACGCAAAGGAGTACATATAGGAACCCATCCTTAATGAAGAAGTTTCTTATCCTGCAGACATTTTTACTTTTAATTTCAGAGAAAATGAAAATTGCAAGTGTTTCTGAAAGACATCTGCATCTAATCTGATCTCATCAGGTGCTGCTGCACAGTGGCAAATCATTTTGCTTCTAAAAAAGCACTAGACTTATAAGCTGTGCACAGTCCCCATGAGTTCATTTCATGCAAGAGCTGGGGACCAAACCTGAGATACTGGTAAAATTAATTCTTTGGTGAAGCGAGGAGTACTCAGTCAAATGAATGTATTTCCTTGAGTGTGCATTTTAAAACTTATGAAGGTCAGTACTGTAAAAGGCAAAGCCATCCTCTCCCATCTGTACATTTTGTCCTCAGGAATTACATTTCTTTTTCTACCAAACATTGGAGGCCAAGGACTCATAGTAAAAGACTGTTATGTCAAAAGTAATGATGGAAATGTTGAGCATAATGAGTGCTGGAGACAAAATTAACGTAGGGACTTTGTACAGCTGTATGGGATTTATCTGGTCTGGAATCCTGAATCCTCCATGATCATCACAAGCTGATTCAGAGGATAAACCAGCAGCAGGTATTTATATGAGACAGTGTCTTCAAGGAAAGCTTTACTTTTTAAGCACAGTAGTTAGAGATTGTAGCTGAGCTTCACATGGTATTTAAAGAGTCTTGCATCTTTCTAAGATCTCGGTATCTTGAACATCTGCTAGATATTCAAAAGTGATTCAGATGAGGTCTCTAAGGAGGAAAAGTAGCAAAGGTTTGTAAATATGATCAGATCCTACAATAATAAATGAACATCAGTGCCAGCACTAGTGAGAAAAACAGAAGATGTTGAAATGAACTAGAAAGTTTTTAGGCCTATTAGTCTCTCTGCCAAATGAACTTTTGAGCTTTAATACACAAGCTTTTAGGATGCTCATGCAGTTAACTCTCTATGTTTTATAATGCTTGCCTTGTCAGTAAAAGATAATGATTTCACTGAAATACAACAACTTTAGTGAAAATATCTGCTATTTCTTGATTTCTTAACAATTCTGATTTTTTTCTGATTTTCAATCTCATTGCAAGAATTACAAGTGAAGGAGGACTCCTATACATCTGCGTCAGGAATTTTTTATCTGCAATGGCATATTTATTTTCCATCTGAGTGTTTGCTTAAATTGCATTTCATCCCTCATTTATATTTCTCATCTACAGGGTAACGTTGTGCACACTGATGCAGTTTCTCTTGCTGTCATCCACATGACTCTTTGTGACTTCATTTGACACTGTATTAAGGTAAACCACAATCTTGTTAATGGCAATAAGCACCAAGGTGGTTGAGTGCTCCTTTGAATGAAGACAAATGAAGGTAGGGAAATGTAATGACTATGCACACTGTGAAGTAAAAGGGCTGTCTTAATGGACTAAAATCAACTTATGTGGATAAAATGGCTTGACTAACAGTTGAGATTAACTTGACTGATTCAGCCAACACCTTGCTTAAGGTATCTTAGTATTACCATATCACTAAGCTCTAAATCATAACTGGTTCCCTGAGTGATACCTCTGGTAGCACTCATGTCTGTAAAACCTAAATTTTACTCCTGGGTAGGTACTTAGTCTAATTTATTTCACTACCTAATGCTTATTGCAGAGAATATATTTGGACATAACATTTGTTCTCAAAGTTTTTGAAACAAAAACCCCCTCAGCTACCAGAAATGTCCTATAAGAACAGATGGCACAAAGAGAGTGGCCAGTTCAGGGAATTTTCAATGAAACTGGCTCTGAAATCACACTAAGCTTTTCTCTATTCTAATATTTATGCATTGCTTAAACTATCAGCTGCTAGATGGCACAGTATATTTCCAGTTCCAATAGGCAATCATACAAACACTATATTATACATGCAGGAAAAACACATGATAATGATTTAATTTTGGTTCATGGAGCTGTAGAACTCAACATAGTGTTACACCATATCTGCAAAAAAGGTTGGTTTTCCAGAACTTGCTAAGACAGTTAAATTGGTATGAATACTGGTAGAAAACAAACTTTAATATTTGAAAGATGGTTGAAATAAAAATACTTTAAATCCAATGCAGGATTAAAAAAAAAGCCCAAACAAACAGTTGGGAGTTCTTCTTCAATCTTTATTTTGTACTTTTGTTTCTAACATACAAAAACATCACTGTCTTTCAATTTCCAAAGGGTTTTATTTTTTATTGTATCATTACTTTATTTGTCTTGTGGCAAGTAACATCCCTGGCAACAGATCAATGTATGTATATGGACAATTTTTTCCAGTAGTTTTATTTAAAAGTTTTGATAGGGTGAAGTGTAGATGTAGCATGTAGTATTCTTCCTATCCTAGGAAAGATGGAGCACAGCACTCATTTGCCAAGAATTCTCTGGAGAAAGAGAATTTTGTCATGTCTTTTATTTTTGAGAGTGAATTGAACTCATGGTCCAGTCATGGATTCAACCAAAGAACAGACATTAAGGAAACCCTGATGTCTTTTGGTTGGTTTTGATGCAGTATTGGCACAGAGAAGATAATGAGATGGGAAAATAATGCCCTAAGGCAACTTGGTCTTTGGGTGACTTGTAGCCAGTCTCTCACTCCAGTGGTGCAGCTGACTCTGTGGAGAGTCAAAGCAATGGCTACACCTGGGCTGTGCTGAGCTTCTGATACTGTCCACTACAACCTTCTCATGTGCAAACCATGGAAACAAACTCCAGCTAAATGCCATGACATTACATTCAGAGTCTTAGTGATAAAGTAACTGCCACATTATTTCCAACTTTGCTAAGTATTCCCCTGTTCCTGACTCCAAGCAAGAAGCTGCTTTACTCAGAGAATAAATATCAGAGGCCATAACTATGAATGCCGCTTTGTTGTTTACACTTGGAGTGATTTTTTTCCCTGCTACCACAGTCTTTGAAATTATATTTTCCTTAATTTACTTTCAGATTCATAAATAAAACAGGCAAAGGGAGGGACTGCCATCTGATTCTCCTGTGATGCACAGTACTCTTTGCTGTGCTGAACATGTCTGAAATGCTGTCCTACTGTTCTGCAACTTACCTTTTTTTTTAGCAGACTTTCTTCTCCAAAATCTTATGTCAATAATGAGAGAGCAACACAGTAAATAAGTAGGTACTTGACTAGAAAGTGCAGCTACTGATCTGCCTGCTAGGGATGATTTTACATTTCCCAGCTTGCATCCTTTAGAAAGTTATTGAGGGGGATTTGGACTTCCAGGCCACTGCAGTATAATCACTGAACACTTATTTGCTGGAGGCAATCACCATTATTATGGCCCTTATTCCACATCTTTTGAAGGCACTGAAGGATTGATATTGATTTTTGAGTAGCATTTATAAGGGGCCTGTGCATTTGAGAGTAACTGGACCATATCATTAGATTACCTAGGGGATTTTCCATCAAATATATTTCTAAAGGTAACACTAGTAGAAGAACTCTTAACCTCTGAATCAGAAGATGGATGTATAAGAGACATTAGAATTTTAAAGGAAAGAACTTCAAGAACAGCTGCTAAACGACTGTTTGAAGTTATGGATCACAAGCTAACTCTTGATTTATGAAGGCAGCATAGTAACAGTTTTCTAATTAATTGATCTGATTGTTCTCAAGAGTGTTTCAGTCTTAATATTCGCAGAAGTCAGTGATTAGGAAAAACTATTTCTTGGCATCAAAACAAAAGGAACCCTAAGAATAGTAAAAGACTATAAGAGGTGCTTGGCCACACTCATTGCACCAGTGGCAGCTGATAATGTAGCATGTGGGTCGTGGCCAGTGGACTGACTCCCACAACCTTCTCCTGTGACATGGTCCCTCTTCTGCTCTATCAGTATTTTAGGTATTCCCAGCTCTGCTCTGGAGCTCCCTGGCTCTGACAACACTGGGCACTCAGGAGCAGTGGCTACAGGTGCAATGTGACCCCAGCCCATGAGCAAAGCTGCAGCTGGGGCTGCCAGTGTGACCCTGTCCCCCGTGTGGTCTGAGATACAATGGTTTGTGTTAGGCTTTAGATCAACACATCTGAAACAGTTGCAGAAATCCCGGAATTTTGTAACAGGATTTTAGAGTCAGGTCAGATTAAGATAACTGAGATTTAGGTGAGATTACAGTAAATTTCACTTATAGTTAGCTGAGAGATAGCACCTCAGCCAGAGAATCTGCCACTATTTTATAAGAAAAAAAAAAGATTTCACACCCAAGTTACAAATAAAACTTTAACAGCTTAACTTGGAAACAATATCTTTTCTTAGAAGAGAGTACATATTACCAGGGTTTTACACTCAGAATCAAGCAAAAGCATGAGGAAAGTAGTCTTCAGCTTTCAGATTTTTCTTTCTTACTACAGGCTGGTAATTATCTTGGCCACCATCTTAACTAGCAAATTTGCCCACAGTTCTGCATTCTACTAACAAAATGCCTATGAATAACTTGTCCAAATTTGAGAAATTTTTTAAGAAATAAGAAATATGAGCTTGAGAAAGCCAGCATATTTTTGCATTTATTAGACTGAATATGTCCTTTGAAAGGACACAGTGTTTTCCCAAAAGTTTGGCTTTAAGAAGTCAAAAGGATTTTGAAAACATTTGCCTAAACCACAAAACTTTGCATGTGTTTCCCTTGTAAATAAAGGATAATGTAATGCAAAAGAATCTTATTTAAACTTTGCGTACAAATATGCATGAATGCCAATTAGATTCAATTTTCCTGACTTAATTTGAATTAACTGATGGGTCTTTTGACATAAGCTGTACTAATTGTTGCTTATTTGGGTGCACTATATCAGTGAGCATGGCAATCAAAAGCTCAGCCAGATGTTCATATTTTCTTTGATTGCCCACAGCCTTGGGTTTGAAGAAAAGTCAATCAGCAAAATTATTCTTCTTAGCATCTGTCAAGGTACTGATCACATTACCATAATGGCAGTCAGAAAAGCAGAATGGCTCTGATTCCCTTTCACTTAACCTGGTGTCAGCCTTCAGCTCTCTGCAGTCTTGGTTTGATACCATCACAAAACATGGAAATTTTGTGAAGTTAGTAAAAGTGTATTTATCAGTGGTTGAGTTCACCACTAAAGAGTGAATGTATTTTTATCTTCATATAAACTTATATTTATGTGAGTAACTGCTATAAAAGTATATTTTGTATATTTTATATTGGCATATATTTACAATGTCTTATTGACTGAAGGGATAGTTTTTTTTTCAAATGTCACATAAAAGCTTTAGAGAAGCTGAAAAACTAAATGTGTTCCACCTATATACCGGAAATCTAAGCCTACTGAAACAGTTTCTTTTGATATGCATTAAAATTTTTGGACGCCTGTAAGATACATAATTTATATTTACAGCTCAAACAATTGTTTTCAATTAATTAGTATTTTCATGAAAGAATTAGGGAAAAAATAATTTTTGTGGGTTTGGTCTTTTCCAAGTATTCTAAAAGCATCTGCCAGAGAGAGAATTTGCATTTGTTTTCAGATGGGATACAGATCAAGACTGTCTTAACCTTTCCCTCCTTTCATCCCTAGGTGTTTAAAGTGTGTCTTTGCATTTCTTGCATAACTGGATCCTATCTCATTAAGGGTAAGATTTTTTTTTTTGCAGTCCCCATAGGAGCAATGCCTAGCAAGAGAGAGTGCATAGTTTGCACCTTTGCTAATTTAAGAACTTACCATGGCCTAGAGTTCTACCCTGCTCAGGAGTGTTTTAACTTGCAATTCCAACCTGCCTACCTGGCAGCTGAGTATTTTGAGCAAGATTTATCATTCCATTTGTTTCTGTAGGATACCTTCAGCCTAAGACAATTCACAGCTAAGGATAACCATGGGAAGAGAAACTAGCCTAAACTACAACTTTAATTTCCTGCTTGTCTATGTGTAAGATTGGTGCGGGTCTCTCACTTTGTTGTACATGTTGCATAGAAACTTTCTAAAGCTCTGAATGTAGAAGAATCCTTGCCATGGTCCCTGGAGGTGATGGACTGTGGACAAAAGAATTCTTTATTTTCAACTGTTAATCTTTAAAATTCTGTTTCGTATTTCATCAAATTTCTGAAACCAGACCTGTCAACAGTAGCAAAACTCTGCTGCTTCTCCCTATTGAGTAGTGAAACTTTTGTTCCTTGTTTACAGACTTTATTGTACGTCACATCAAAAAGATGAATTTAACCTGACAGAGGAAGATGAAAGGGACGTGACAGGGAAAGATTCTGAAAATATTATTATGGGTGATGAGCTCCAGCAGCAATTAATTCAGGAAGTTTACTGAAGGAAGCTCCCACGCTCAGCCACTAAACTCTTAATGTGGCTTAGCTCTCAATCAAAGCTTTCAGAGAAAGATATTGCATGAAGGAGGAGCTACTGTATCTGCCACAAAGCTGCTTAATATGACTCATGTCTCAATGGAAGTATTTGAAGCATAAAAACTCTTTAGATGGTTCTTCAAAACCAGTGGCACACATCCCTAGCTCATTTATAGAGTTGATTAAATATTTGCATGCCTGCTGTTCGAATATTCACAGCTACTCAGGTTTTCAGCCCATTCTACCACAGAAACACCTGGGTAAAGAAAACAAACCCTTTTTGTTCCTTCATTCTAAAAAGACCTCTCACCTCAGGTTGTGGACATCAGCCTCTGGAGAGAAGAGAGTGGTGCTAACTCCTGGGAAGTGCTTTGCACGGCATGACAGGGAGAAAGGTCAGAGTACCATCGCCCTTGAGCATCATGGGCAGGGATTTGGAGCATCTGCACAGGTTTGGAGGAGGGGGGGTCAAGGTTTGTATTTGGTGGGGTTCCAGATTTTGTTGGTGTTTTTTTTTTTACTTTACTTATGCCTTTGAAGAGGTAACAACTAAATGAGAATCCACCTCTTCCACACGTATAAAACCCTGTGGGTGCTGCAAGTGGTACATTTTTAATATGAAGCTTTTAGAAGAAATGAGAATTAAGGGGAGGAAAATTCCCAACATTATCTCTTTGTTGGGTTTCAGCTAGGGGTAAGTGGAGGTACATCTCATTTGACACACACATAGGCTCAAAATTATCTTGTGGGCTTTGGAACCACCTGACAGAGCACAGCTTCCCCTCAGGCCAGGCTCCCAGGCCCTGAGTGGTCACCCAGGGGCTGCTGCTGAGAGCGCCCAACCCAGGCCTCTGCAGGCAGTTTTGGTCAGAACAAACATCTAAAAACATCCTTAAAGCCACCTCTTAAAGAAGGGCTTTTGAGTATTTCCTGGAGTATTAAACTTTAAGTATCACCTTGAGTGCAGTTTTGGGTGCCATAATAGAAGAAAGATTTAAACCTATTGGAGACCTACCAAGACAGTGAAGGGCTTTGAGGGGAAGCCATCTCTGGAGCAGCTGAGGTCACTTGGCTTGGTAAGTGTGGAGTAGACACAGGTGAGACCTCAGGGCAGTCCACAGCTTCCTCACAGGCAGAAATGGAGGATCTCTCTCTGGTGACCAGTAGTGGGACTCAGGTAACTCATGTGAAGCTGAGAAGAGGCTCAGGTTGGATATTAGACAAAGGTTTTTCCCCCTGTGGCTGTTTGGGTACTGGAACAGGCTCCCCAGGGCAGTGGTCACAGCACCAAGCCTGGCAGAGTTCAAGAAGTGTTTGGACAATGCTCTCAGGCACATGGTGAGTCTTGGTGATGGGCCTGTGCAGGGCCAGGAGCTGGACTTCGATAATCCTTGTGAGTCCTCCTGAACTCAGGGTACTCTATGATTTTATGATCCCTCAGCTGTACTTGGCCATCTTCCTCTGTAACTTGTCACACATACATTGTTTGCAGGCTCTGGGCTTCATCCTTTTCTGGTTTTTGCTGAGTTGTTACAGCCCTGATCTCTGTGTGTAGGAGTCACCCTGCATTTATTTACAGAGATCTGGAGGCACACATCAAGCTCTGTCTTCCTTCCCTGTGTTGATGCAGAAAAGGGCAGAATGCTATCTGGCTATCAAAAACATTCCAGTGTTGAAAGAGAGCCCTTAATTACTTTGTGCTTTTGCTTCCTCTGAGTTATGTGTCTGATTAGAGTTAAATGTTATCATTTCATACACCATCACAGCTGAGATCCACTTGGGTAACATGCATCCAAATTTGCTGTATATCTATATGATGTATTTATTGTTCTGCATGTTAAGAGGGTATTGACTAACTGTACTTGCATATGTTTCAGCCCTTAGTTAGCTTTCAAATTTGTGATTTTGCTTTCATCTTAGTTTTATAGTAGATAATTCTAACCTTCTCATTAAGTTTAATGAGTAATCACATTGGCTTACTGCTGTTTCTACATGGTACACTTGTGCATACAGTCATCAGAAAGATTATGCAAAACATGAGAAATGAATGCACATGTGCAAAACTGCATAATGCATTGAAATAGTCAAGAATAATTTAATCAGGAACATTTTCAGGTATCTTCAGTTCATGTTGACTGTCCATTTTAAAATTCTTTATCATTTATTTCAAAAATATTTTCATGGAAAAATGTGATGCTAGTTCAAATGTGGTTCCTCAAGATATTGTGTATTTTGTTTGAGGTTAATATGTTCAAAACATGAAATAGGTTAATTTTAAAGTGTGGAGAGAGAGGTTTCAAAGGGTCAGTAGTGTGAGCAGATCTCCCCATTGTTTTTATCTGTCTTTCCTTTCAGAGACAGTCTTCAGTGCTGCCTGGTCTGTATGCTTCTCTGTGGTAGGGAAAGGACACAGAAATTGCCTGTTCCTAATCTGGATAGTCCAGACAGGCTTTATATTTTATGGGTCTGGCAGCATGTTAGTGTGAGTGTATATTGATTTCTGAGCCTGCTCACCCTCCTCTGCCATCCATTCTCTCTTCACTTTAAAAGTTAAGCATTTCATTCCCCCTTTCAGACCTCCTGTGCTCTCCAGTGCCCCAGCAAAATGTGGGCTCTCCACAAGAATTGAGACCCTGCAGAGTGTGAGGAGTGTTTGAGAGAGGGGAGGGAGGCACAGGGATGTGGCTGCAGGCAGGGCTGTTTCCCACAGAAGCCTGCAATCTTTTCTACTCTTGTGTTTTTTATAAACCAGTTTTGCTGCTGCCTCCTAACTATGGGGCCATTTCACCCAGCCTTTGCATGGACTGTGAGGAACAGACCTGAGCCCTGCAGTACCAGTGATCACATGGGATGCTCCCAGACTGCCCACAGAGATTTTTCACCCTCCTGCCTGATGTTGAGGGAAGCAAGTTCTCCTAACATTCTTTTCCCATGTATTTCCCCATTTATTTCCTCTTTTTCCCCCTTCTACATTTTCATCCTTTCTGTTATACATTGAGAATTATTTTACTTTGCCTTTCTTTTCTAGAGATGCCTTTATTTCAGTTAGTATTGTACTCAGCTCTTATCTCCCAGCACATGAGAAAACAATTTTGGTGAGGGTCCCAGTGGACTTCCTCCTATCAATCAAATACTTTCAACGAGTTTGGATAAAAACATCTCATTATTTCAAGTGGAAACATCACAATTAAAAAAGGGGGAGAAGTTGGATGGTGAAATGTTCTTTGTTCTTTTCAGAATTTGGAGTGCTGTGGTAAGTTTTCACAAATTAGAATTCCATTTTTGGCTCTTTCTGACAGTAAACAGCTTTGATCTTAATATCTGTGCACTGAACAACTCTGCAGGCTTAGAGCAAAGTGGATATTTCTAAAATCCTTCTGAGAAATGACAAAGGGATAAGTGATCCCTATATATCCAAATCAGAAAGTTACTGAATAGTGAATGTTAGGAAGATTATCTATTTATGTATTCTCCAGAGCCTGAGCCCTGACATTGTGCTATTTTATTTTGTGAGCTAATTTGGGCACCAGGACCACAAAGCATAGCTACTTTCTCACCTGAGCTGCCATTGAGATGATATTGTAACAAAAAAAGGCACAGGCTCAAGAGACTGTAAGGATAGAATATAAAACCTTACCTTTTTAAAAATTATTTATTTATTTATATTTAACAGAATAGCTTTTATGTCAATAAAAACAACCTTCTAAATCTGTCCACTTCTCATTCCACTTAATATACTTTCCTGCTGTAATGAGGTGGACCTGCTCTAGAAGTCATGCAGCTCCATGATATACCCTGGCTGACTTGTGTGGGCTTTCTGATTAACATTCTGGGTAAACTAACAAACAAGAAATCAATATTTCCCTTTCAGAAACAACAGTTATAGTGTAATGTTTTTATTTTATTAGTCACAATCTGAGTCTCTTAATTTAGTTATTTTTAATTGAAAAACTCAGCTTTATGGCTCTGCTGTAGCTATGTTTACTTTTTACTTGTGCTGGGGAACTTCAGAGCTGGCAGGCTGGGTCTCTGCAATCCTTGACTCACTGGCCTTGCACGGCTGCAGCCCATGGGGGTCTGAGGCCATATGCAAGAACTCTGGCTATGAAATATTTCAGGTGAGAGGGGAGCTCAGTGTGAGGCTCCTGTGTTCATTTCTGTTTATCAAGATGACCTTGGGGCTCTGGGCAGCTTTGTCCAGTCCTCTGAACTCAGAAAGGTTCTTTTAATTAACCATTGAAAACACAACAGAAGATCCAGTTTAGAGAACTTCTGGGGCTAGAAGAGAATTAATTTGGTTTCCATCCAGCACTTTATTGGATGGACTGAATTTTTAATTTTCATACACATTTTAATCACAGTGCAAGCTGGAACTCTTTCATGCTTCAGCAAGATTTAGCTACATTGCCTTTTTGATGTTAAAAAAAAATAATTTCTTAGATTATAATAGCAAGCATAGGAGGCACTTAGATCCCAGTCCCACTGCTGAGTTTTTAACAACTCTTGTCTGTCTTCGTGAAATTAGGTGTTTTGATGGAGATCAGTTCCTCCACCCTTGAGATATTGGAGACAAAGTCAAGGTCTGCCAAAGCTCCCTGGACAACCTAGACAAAACACGTCCATTGTGGGCTTTGCCTACATCCTCTCTCATTAGAACACAGCCTTCATTCACACAGCCGAGAAAGAAACGCCGCCAGTTTTGGCTAGAACAGAGTGTATGAATATCTGTAAGCTTGCAGCCTTCCTCACCGTATTAATCTTCAATGTTCTTACTGAAAACAAAATATATAAATAGCTTTAGAGCCATCTACTCCTTGGCAATAATCTTGGCATTGCTTTTCACTGAACTAACAATGAGTCGCTGATAATTTATGTGCTCTCAAAAGGAACACAAATAAGACACGTTTCCAGGTAAATATAATAGACATGACATTTAATATCCTGTCTTTGTAATTTTCAATTTTTTTTGGTGCATCTACAATAAAAGATGTTCTTTCACAGAAAAATGAGTGTGCTTGCAATAGAGAATAGTGGCTATTAAAGCCTCTCTGTCCAGCCATTAGCATTTGAAGATTAATTTTAAAATTAACAAAGCTGTTCCCAAGGGGAATAATCTTAAGGAGCTCACTGTCCTTATTTTTTGTAGCTTTTTGTGTTGCAAGGTGACTGTTGATGTTAGCCATAATGGCTCTCACTTGGACTGGAAAAAAATATCTTCATTACATTTTATGAAGTCTTCCAAGAGCTGTGCCAGCCATGGTCAGTTGATACCACCCTATCCTGGGTGAGAGAGAGAGAGATACAGAGGCAAAGAAGCTCTGCTCATGCACACAGAACAGTTTCTGCCAGTCAAGTCAAGTAAATCTCTCTTGTATGTCCATGTGATTCAGGACAGAAGGCTGCCTCAGTCTGGAGTATCTTTGGGCTTGGTTTGCCATCTGCCGAGTTACTTCATTTCCATGTGACA